TTCTAGAGGTGAAGTGTAGGTTTCTTCCAGCTGTGTATCGTCATCATCGCAGGGGCGAACTGACATCCCATAGATTCAGGACAGTCGAAATGAATCGTCATTTCCCTGCCCATACTGTTCTTTATCGCCGACCTTAACGACATCTTATTTCATACCATTAATTCTGAAGAAAGAGTCCTCACGTTCGGAAACTAATAAGGGTCCGTGATTGATCTCCAGTCCTTTAGTTCATGATGCCTTCTGTTCCTTTGTACAGAATGAACAGCAAGCTTTGAACGATAATAGCCGTATCAAAAATTGTACTCAGTTCTTTTGAAAAAGTTATTGCGCTTGGTTGTACATCTAGCTATCTCCGTGGTGTAGGTGAGATGTGAAACGTGCTAAAACAGTCCGATTATTTGAGTGTGCACTCGCGCTTGGCTAATCTCTTCTGCCCCTCTTCTGAACGGTAGCATTGGGCTTCCTATCTTTGAAAGGCGATATTCAGCACGCATAACATGGCATAGTACTAGGGGATGAATTTTTAAGGGACTTGTCGCACCTTTCCCCCTTGAGGTTAGCGGTGAAGGCCCTTCATTAGCCCAGAAATGATTGTCTGTGGAGGGGCTTTTTGTGGTTGTTACCCCTATGACAACAGTAGATTTGTTACTAATTATTAATATTAGTAACGGAACCACTGTAACTAGCACTGATTACCAGTAGCATGATTGTCGCATGGTTAATAAACAAACTAAAACCTAGTTTATCCTTTCGATGTTCACAACGAGATGTCACAGAAACTCTATCGATTAAGGGCGAACGAGCGTAGCTAAACATTACCCTGTCCGGATATTTCTTATTTTGCTGGGTATCTGCTCTCTGGGATGAGCTTAATACAGTGGATGCTATGGAGTTATTGGCATTTAATTTTGCACATTTATAATTAATTTTAAAGGATGGCCAGAAAGCGGTATGCACGATAAGTTTCCTGAAACAGTTATGTGCATTTTTTGATGTAGCGGAGCTTCGGAGTTGTAGTAGTGTTATTTCAGGGTCACATAACTCCTTCACTTATGCTTTAAAGAGCAAGTGGCATGTGGCGGTGGACCAGGGCAGGTGGATTCGCAGAATCGACTGTCCTTGGGTCCGAAAAACCATTTGTCGTTGGGCTACTTGTCAGAATATAGACGTAATGCGGCAGCTAATGATTGGCGTGCGTTTCTTCGATGTTCGTGTCGCCATACACCACCCTACTTCAAACAGTACTATCAGCGATGATTTCTACGCCGTACATGGTTTGTACGGGGAAAGGATGATTGATGCGTTTCGTCAAATCGTATCCTTCCTCAAGGCGCACCCCGACGAGTTGGTGATATTGGACATAAACCACTTCTATAACTTTTCCATCTCTGACCATGCAAGATTATTGCACGTGATTGCTTCGTCATTTGACTCAATGCTTTGCCCGTCGGGTAATAATTTGCATCTTGATGACGTCACGCTGGACATGCTTCGTCAGAGTCATAGGCAGGCAATCGTGTTTTACCAGGCTGAGCAACGGACAGCGCTGGACACGCTAAACGTCACCTGGCCAAGACGGTTCATCGTCAGCCCATGGGCGAATACAAACAGCTTGACGAAACTGTTCGCGTTCTTAGAACGAACGCTCGCGGTTCGTGACCAATTGCTTCCAGAAGGTGGTGTTTTCGTGGTGCAGTCGATTTTGACACCTCACGCTGTGGACGTCGTTTTGCACCTGCGCAGTAGTCTGCAGCAAAGGATTGCCCTGAACACTACCGAACAGACGGTGAAGTGGCTGCGCGCTGGACAGAGGGAATCAGTGTGGCCATTCACTGCCGCTGTGGTTTTAGTCGACTTCGTCAATTTTCCTGATTTTTGCCGAACCGTGGTCAATATGAACCTCTTGTAGCCTCTTGACGGTGACGCGCGTTACCCTCTTCCAGTTTTTTGAGTTCTTGCACCTTCTGTGAAGTTGTACTCGAAAATGTACTAATCAACTCTTAACCTTCCTTGCCAAAATCTATTTTGGCCATGGAATGAATTAAATAGTCATTTCGCGTTGGGTTTGGTGTGTTGTTGTTATTAGTCTTTGTGCATAAAATGTCACAGTAATAAATAGTTTTTGGACAGCGCAGAAGGTATTTTGTAATACTGCAGCTTGAATTCGATTCAAATACAAACATTTCGTCAATAGTTTAATTCTAAATATGAAATTGTAGTAGTTGTCAGTTATGAGAAGAGGAAGGAAAGTTTGTAATCGTCCGAAGCTCAGTCTTCCTTACCTTTACATAATGAGGCCAATTCGAGCACGCGCACTTGTTTTCATCAAGTTAAAGGTAAGGGCGCTGATCTCTGTTTCTGTCATTTCCGTAATCAGGCAGAAGTTCCTTATGGTCTAGGTAGTCTACAGCCATGTGGCAAGCATACTCTTTAGTCGTATGTTTCCTTCTCTCACAGTGGTATCATTTATGAACCTCAGAGAGAAGAAAGGCCCAGGGACCTCCTGTTCTAAATCCGACGTCGTAGTGACCGAGTAATCTCGGCATGAATCAACGTATTGTAAATTCCTTGCATAATAGAATTCGTGGTAAATGCAAATATTGCCCACCGGGCAATCGAACTCTGCCACCGGATTTGCATTCAAAGCGGACGATTTACGCACTGCTTCACCACGCCACTTCTCAGTTGTACTTGATTTATACTCAGTTATTTTTCGTAAAAGTATCGTCCGCTTCCGTTGTATTTTTTTCGTCACTGACATATCCATATTTCAGTCGATGGAGTACCATTGTGCCAAGCATGAAAAATTTCACCAGGCAAATACACTGACGAGCCAGAGGCCGAAACCCTGGTTCGGTAGTTTCAGTTCGTATTTCTTCCGATTGATTGTTTGTTCTGTTTTTCTTTACAAGCTTTTGATTGTTTGCTTTTATTTGTTGACTTTCTGACCGTTTGAACAGTGGCAGGAACTTCCCTGCAGTTTGTTGATTATAACCAATAGTCAGAATCCATAAGAACCTAGCCTTATTGGCCAGTCATTTCTGACAGGAATTCACGGCTACTCTTCAATAGTAGCGCTTAAAGGGGAATAAGCACCGCTCTCCTGCTATTGCCCTGCTGAACAACCTCTTACTTTGATTACCCATGCGATAAGGACGATATGATGGTTTTAGAGAATAGAGCTGCTTCTTGCGTTTGATTGTACCAAAGAAAGTGTAAGCATCTGGCAGATTGGATATCCGCAGCGCAGTTTAGTCAGTGAGAAGTTTCTTTCACATTTTTTGTGTTTGCTTTCGTGCATCACTTGTCTTCTCCCGCGCTGTTTTTGGCCTGGTCTACATTTCCACAGACGGGCATTTTTCCGCTTTTTCGGAGGGAGTAGTTCGTTATCTGACGTAGTGCTCAGTCGTATGAACAGCTTATGACGCTTTATAAGTTACGAATTATACTGAACAAAATTTCAATAGAGCACATAATTATCAGCATAATTTCACAAGTCGACTTACACGGTATTTCCGTTGCATCGCTCGTAGGACCATAATGACCTAACTGCTTCTACCGTCGACAATCAAGTCAAGTGGTTCTTCACCCTCACCGGTCGCCTTTCCTTCCATCTTGCCCAGAAGTTCGGTAGCTTCGCCTTTTCCCTTGAAACTACAGTTTACTCGCACAATGAGAACCCATGGAAGCAGATGCTCCCATCCAAGATGGAGCTACGAGAAGATTTGTCGATAAATTTTTTG